GAGTTAAAAAAAAAAAAAAAAAAAAAATATTGACATTTGTCAAGATAGCTAAATCTTACATTGTCATAAATAACCTTGAAGTTCACAGTCTGGTACTGCTGCAAATTATATGGTTTTTCATTCTATCAACCAATCGATTTTTAACAAGCGGCCGTACACAATATACTAAATATAAATATTTTACCATATTCAGCACACAAATTTATTACTTTAGATATTCATGTACCGAACCTAATATAGTCCGGCTCTTTGTCTAGTTCTGCACATTGTGCTCTCGCCCGCCTCCGGCATGAGTCGCGTGTAATTCCGGGGCGATAGCGCCGCGTAATCGAAATTCGCTTGTTATTCCACGGTTATTATTACATCAGGTGTATGGACTGTCTGATAATTGGACGGAACACATTTTCACTATTTCACAGACATCATTTGCGAATAATACAAAACGCAATACAACTGTTATCAAATTAGTACTTTGGACTTTGCTTGTACTATTATGTTTTTACATGTTGCGGATATTAATTCTTATTATGTGTACTAATAATTAAATTCAGTGCCTTCGAGGATTAAATGTGCGCTGATTGCTAAAAACTGTTGTACCAAAGTATTTAATTGTCTTATTTTGTTTCTGAATAGTTGCAGTATGATGCAAAAAGAATATGAATTTAATGGAGGTTCAAGTACATCAATATGCTTGAAACAAAAGTAGATTTTGAAATATATTAGATACTAGCAAACTCACAGCGAACTCCGTTTCGCCACAGATGGTTTCGTGAGAAAGATGAAAAATTTTTTTTGTGTTTTATTTGAAAAGGAAATGAGTAGCTGTGAAACAATGTTTCTACCGGCACCATCTACTTAAAATATGGTTTGTAGTACATGCTAAGTATCAGAGATGATGTTGTATGTGAAAAAAGATTTTTCTGCTTTTTGTTGAAATTTTCTTCAATTTTCTTTTGCTATAACCTCACGGAGCCCGAGACCTTTCCAACGAATGCAAAATCGTCGAAATCGGTTTGTACGTTCTGGAGTTATATCTTCAGGAAGGAAAACCCGACTTATTTTTATATAATAGATAATGTTATGGCTGATCATAATATAAGTTAGATTCTGATTTTTTTATAAAATCTTTATAAAATATAGAGTATTATATCTGTTTGAAAATGTACCGTAACATAGCTATTATTTTCTTTTAAATTATCAGTAAGACGTTGGCTCTATTTTCCCTGTCGTTCCATTTTACTCCGCCAATAGGGTGAAAAAGACTAGGTGACAAATTTTTATATATCTGTAATAATATATAGCTGAATGTACTGTGTACAGTTTGCTATAAAAAATAAACTAAAAAAAAATTTGTTTTTTAAAAAACAGCAAAAAAACACATTTCTACAATATTGTATTAGCTAAAAGTTTTGCTGAACATAATCAGATAGTTACGTGTTATTTGTTTTGATATAATTGGTTTGGTTTTCACAATATTATGGCTCAAAGACAAATTGGACCATTGTGCCCTTTCCTACCATATATTGAAATGAAAAAATAATAACTGTTAGTAAAAATGACTTACTTAAAAAACTAAAACAATGTATAAATAGAATTACAGTATAAATGAACAAGCAGGCTTTTGAGTTTAATTATCATCGTGTAATGCCAAATTGTAATTAATATTGTTAATTGAATTGTTGTGGCGTTTGTAAAATTGCCATATTAACTTAATGTATTATTGAACTAATTGTAATTAGTGCTCCACCTGAAGAAAGATTTATAATCTGAAAGTACTATATTTTTTAATCTATTGCTCCTTGCTTAATTTTATTCAAGCACTTAAATACCTATATTGATTATTCATCGCAAATACTTTTTTTCGAACTAATAAGCGACTTTGAGTTCAAAGGATATTGATTCGTATTGATGGGAAGACAGGTTCACCTACTTCGGCAAAAGCAAACTCTTTTCGTAAATTTAAAATAAACTTTTATTTTTTATTCAATTTTCTGTATCTAATATTTATTTACAAAATAGTTTATTTCAGCAATTCGCCTGAAGGCATAATTTCATACATTATTAGTTTAAATTTTATGTTGTTTTGAACCATATTTGTTAACTATTATAGAGCACATGTTGCAAGAGCATAAATGTTTTGCTTCTATCCCTAACCAGCATCAGAATTAACTATAGTTAAACTAATAGTTGTAAAGTACACAATGAACTTCTATGACCAAGTTTCTGTTTAGCATGCACATTCAACATATATACGTTAAATGATTTTTTTATATAAAGATTACCAATTATTCAGTTTTATTATCTGCCGTACATTACAAACTAAAAACTTCTAGTATTTAGAATTCTTCCCTAAACTTTCTTAACTAGTTGGGTACCTGGAACCGGAATTGTTGCATCGATACATGTCGAATTAACTTTCCAAAAGTTAGGAATAAGTGAACCCTCGCCGGAAAAGTTTAAAAAGGATGTTGTTAAATCATTTTAATTATGTACTTTGTAGTTTCTCTATTTCATTTTGAAATAAGTCGCAATTCACCTTTAGCCAAGATGTATAAACTTCTTCATGCATAAAACTTGATCAACAAAAATTGAATGCTATAAGATACAATTAAAGTTTATTCCATGTTGAACTTTTCAGTGACGGTTCAATGAAGCATTCGTGAAATGCGTAGGAAAAATAAAAATTGCAAATCGATTTTTGCAGGAAAAAGTTCGAATTTTGTAAAATATCTAAGAGATTTACTTAGTATATTTTTCATTAAATATTGTGATAGTTCCATATTTTCTTTCTATTATTCTATCTAAAATTTTGCAAAATTTAATTAAACCTGATAAAATTATTCACAGAATTCATACTTATGAATTCAATTTACGTTTACCGTGCCTTTGAAAATTAATTGAATAGATTTGTTGATTAATTAGACCAATATCACTCAAAAACTTCAAAGGCCAAACTTGATTTGAACCCGAACCCCGGCAACTGTAGACTAACGGTAACCGCATTTGGATTTAATATTTACAATTATGACCAATAGCATACAAAAAAAGTTTGTTGTTGAGTTTAACTAAATATGAATAAACCAAATATGCAATATAAATGCAAATTTTCGATCTTTAGCCGCTCAGATTCCGCACTAAATCAATTCTACCGTATTTACACAAAAAGCGCGATGTTGCCACTCTGAACAAACAACCAATTACTGATACGCGAGACTGCAATTTGAAAAAATCCACTCACACGAAATAATGATTCTGTTCACAGACAAACTAATTGCATGTCACAAAAATAATGTTTGTTTTGATATTTATTTAACTGTTTTACGATCGTTTATAACGTTTGTGCGATAAATTATCGAGGAGATAAACACACACAAATTCCCTTGATAATCATTAATGGTTTATTATTATGTTTCATGTTGCCCTCTAAAAAACTGAATTAATTGCTAGTATAATTAAGAAAAAAATATTTTAGAATCAAAAATATTTAAAAATTTTATTGGAAAAATATTTATGACTTTCATGTCGATAATGTTAAAATAAATATATAAAATCTGTTTGATCATGCAACAATACATCTACTGTGAAAAACATTTAATTTCTTAATATTATCAATATTTAAAAATAATAATTAATCAACAAATAAGTAATATTAATAAATCTTTAAATGCACATTATAAAGAGTATAGAATTTGCTATTAAAATTGCAAGAGGTTCAAAAAGCCAGTGATAAAATATTCAGATTTTTTTCATAATTCATCTGTCCTCTATCCTTCCATAAATATATATTATCATTTTCCACCGTGCCAGGTATTTCATAGCAGTTACATTTGAATAATAACTTTTGGCGAAAAGAAGGTACGATACACGTGTAATGTAAGCCAGGGTAAGATTTCGAGAATTTGTCGTATGAGTTAACTTTCCAACATCATACGAGAAGAACGGATTTCGAATAATTCCGTCTGAGAGAGGCTGCTCGCCCAGAGGCTTAATTATGGCACAAAGAGGGAAAATTTATTTTATACCTTTATATGCGCATATTAATATTTATATGTTGCTGTCAAGTTGAAAAGGAAGGTGGAATATTTTGAAAATAAAGCATAATAATGTAAACAGGTTGTTATTTTCGTAACAATTGTTAGTCGTGTGATTCACGTTTGACATTTTTGTATATTGTTAGAGTTCGTGGAATTTTATGAGGCTTTTAAAAAAATTGTTTTATTTCACTGTTCCTTTTGAACAATGACTTTGTGTCATGTTTCAAGCATCATCATCATCTTACTTCCATCTCCACTTCCATCATCTCACTTTCATAAAACTTCTGGTTTTTATTAGCTAAAAACTGAATTAGGAACAATTTGAGACCGTCACAATCATTGAGTTATTTACCCTAAATGAATTTAGTATAGATAGAAACAAAAAGTAATCAGAACGGATGAAAATCCCAATCAAGTTCCAGCAATTTTTACTGGATGGCCAAAGATATGTGATGTCAATAATGGAATTTTGATTTGCCAATTTAGGGCGATTTATTCAGTTGCATTGCTTAATTTTGTTAGTTTTGAAAGACATCAGAATTTATTATTCGATTGGTAATGAAAGTTCAAAGTAGACAATTTCTTTCTTCAACTCGACGACCAATCTTTTTTCGTCTTTGAGTGAAAAATCGCCAAAAACCAATTTTGACATTCCCGTTTTTTTTAAGAAATCGTCATCAGAAAAAAACAAAAAAAAATGTTTGAGTACTACTGATTCGTATCGTCGAAGAAAATCTATCTTTGCTGCCATATCTGGGTGACGACGCCACTAGGCACGAGTGGAAGCTATTCATTTCGTCGCCCTGAACTTTCATCTAGAAGAAATATTTCTTATTCTATAGAATTCGTATAATGTGGGAGACAGACATTGTATTGTACCCTTTATGCTATCATAGTATCACTTCAATGACTTACGCAATGTCCTGAATTCATGATTCATTTTATATCTGCCGAGAGAATTCTGCCATGGGGTATAAATTCATTAGTTTGCTGGATCGAAACTTCAGAAGTAATGGAATCATTACTGTGAAAATAGGGAACAGACGAAAATTTTCATAACCAATTATGTCTAATACAAGCTTGGATGACCTAATTTCACTATTTTTAGTTACATGATTTTTCTATGATTTGAGAAGTTTAGTAGGTCGAACTTTTTTTATTCCATACAATTATGAGTTACGGGTGTGGAAATTGAATGTGTACTAGAAAAGAGATATTATGTATTTATAGTATGAGGCGAAAAAGTCAGTATTTATGGTCTTGATATTGTAACGGAGAATAATGTGCAATTTTGTTTTTGTCGTTCCCGTTCTGGTGCTTTTAATATCAACAGAAAAAATATATAGTATTATTTGTGGATAAAAATCGTCTATATACATGTATGGATATATGGATTTTGCACTGTGTGCTTGGGAATGCATATAGAGAATCAAAAGTTATGTTTTCGTTATGGACCTAATTGGTGCATTTACTGTTTTATATATTACGTATATAATAAAAGGACATCAATCCAATTATTAACAAAGAATCAAGTTAAGTAGGCTAGCATTGCTGGTTTTTAGTCATATTTTGTCTTTTATCTTTGAGCAATGATATTGAGAAAACCAAACCAAGTATATCACAACAAATACCATATATCAAATAAACAACTATCTGACTATGTTCAGTAAAACTCCCAGTCAATTCATAAATGTAGTAATGAGTTTTTTGCTGTTTTTAAAAATTTGTCCTCTGGTCATTTTTACTCCAAAAGCTGGCAAACAAGTTTAATGTCTTATTTTGGTAAATAATCGTTTTTCTGATCCAATTATGGTTTAATTACAGTTGCAAACCTTGCCCGGTGGTGACGCCTACATTCCTTTGCGGGGCCGACAATAGGACCTATAGTTCTCTTTGCCGTTTGGACTATCACAATTGCATACATCAGACGGCAATCAAAGTGGCATGCAAAGGATTTTGTCCTTGCAAAGGTGAGACCGAATGTTCAATTCGAATTATTCATGACCGTTACAATGCTAATATGTATCGGGGTGTTTAAGTTTAATTCTTTATTTATATATGATGGTAAAAACTTGCAAAGATAGAATTTTGTTACATATAATTTACTTAATATTTCATATCAATTCACATCTATATATGCATATTTTTTTTAGAATTAAAATTTTTGTAATATAATTTACTTGATATTTAAAAAAAAATGATGACTATGCGATTTTTAATATGATAATTACATTATCACGTTTCTTCGTAAAATTACAGTAAAACATTGATGGTTTTCTATGTCAAAATTTAGCTTTTCTTAACGACTTAACAAGCCTCCTTAGAAAAACATTAGAGAAGCTGATTCTAAATCAGCAAAATCGTAAAATAGACCAATGTTATGGCAAGGCCATAATACTTAGCACTTTTCATACAAAATGGTACTAAATACTGCCAAAATGTTATGTAATTACTGTGCGATCATCGTTTTATACATAAAATGTAACTTCACTCACATATTGTTGTATATGTAATATGCCACATCACAAAGATGCAGCTATGAAAACATTTTTTTGACATTTATTATTATTTCATATGAGTACCATTTGTGTTTAGTACCATTTTATATGAGGTAAAATACACGTAACATAGCCTTGCCATAACATTGATCTATTTTACGGTAGAATCGTCTTTAGAATCTATTACATTCTATCAACAAAGAAAAAATAAGACATTCCTAATATCTGTAGGATTTACTTGAGAACATATTTGGTAACCTAAATTCTCTTATAAAGTTTGGAAAATTAGGTCAAAGGTAGGAGCATTTGATTGCGATTTCAACTCTATATAAATATAAATCTATCTTATTCCACATGCACCTAATTCTTAGTTACTTTCAATTAAATTAATAGTGTCATACTCTAACTTATGAACAAGTAAATATTATTAAATTAATTAAAATTAAACATATGTAGAAAATATTGATGTGATATTCTCAATCTATGTTTTATAGAACTGAATATTCCCTCTCAAATATTTCTGAACATTTTGGCATACCTTAGAAAAAATGGATGTGTGCGTGTATGTGTGTATGAATTTTTCGTCCACGTTTTCGGGCGTACGGGTCAACCGATTTCAGGAATTTCCGAATGGTTCAGAAAGCATTCAATTCCTATTGATAGGGAGATGTGTTGATTAGTTTTTGGCAAAAGTTGGTGCAATCGTTTGAAGCTTCAGAGCAAAAAGAGTACAGAAAATGGAAATCGAGTTTTTAAGAAAACTGAGCATCCGATTAAAATAATCCATAAACATTTAATTGGTAATGTTGGAAATAAGTGGCAAAAACAGGTCCAGCCGTTTCGGAGATACGGAGCAAAATGTGCAAAAAATTGCAGTTTTTGAGAGAAATAAGCTGTTGTGACCCAATGGTTTAACTATAACTAATATATTACTAACTATAATATAAGCTACGCATATATTCAATTCTCAGTTTCTCAACATTGTATTCATCCCAAGAACTTGTTACATTGTATTAAGTCATATCGAGTAACAAAAGTATTATAATCAGAAATGGGATCCATGAACTTTTTCTTAATGCGTACGTGATTCTCTGCATACGACACATTAATTCCTATGAATTTCGATCGGTGAATCACATAATTTGCACTCACACATATAAATGAATTTAGTTTATCATATCCTAAAGGAGTAAAGCCCCTCTTCTAAATAAAAGGTTATATAAAGCCAAAATGGAATTTTAAGTTGCTCAGTTGTGTAATTTTCGTATAGACGACAGCATCTCAGAGTATTAATGAACGGGAAAAATAAAAAGTATTCATGAAAAATATTGTGTTTAATTTGAAATTATTATGATATTACTATAACATCTAACGAAATTGGTTGATGAAGAAAAGAGCTATTCGGCGCCCAACAAAGCATTCGATTTGAATGATTCAAAAAAACTTTCTGCTTGTGTAGACGCAACGATTGTTTTTGGAAAAAATATTTCAATTTTTTTTTTGTTTTGAATATCGAAAATAATTCATATTTCCAATGTTTTAATTCGATACGGGAAGTTTTAGCAATTAATTTCAAAGCATGATGCCTTACACCACATAGTCCATCAAATATCGAATGTATTTTATATATATTATCAGAGCAATGATGACAATAAAAATATTCGAAATGGACCGACAAATATCGTAAAAGTGTACTTTACCGCTTTCATATATTTTGCCATTTGAAGATTCTGTGTTTGCTAGTGTCCAATATATTTTGTATTTGCATAAGGTACACGTTCTACTGGAGCAGTTTTATGAATATTATAGCATTGCATTTTGCCCTTAACCGTATACTTCATGCACCGCACTCATTTTTGCCACATGCTCACAAAGACATGAGGAGTAATGTTCTGTCAAGAGTAAATATGCTATAAATAGTTGAAACGTGTACCTATATTATCGTTTAGAATAAAGGTTCTAAAGTTGTTTAATATTTGATGCACTAAACTTATTGCATCTCAAAAAATAGGGTTGGACAGGGCACAAAGGTCCAGTTTGGCTTTAAGTAATTATACTTACTAAGTCAAATAAATTACATCAAAACACATAACACAAATCAAACAGTCAACTATCGAACTATGTTCAAAAAAATTCCCAGTTATTTCCTAATTATAAAAATGTGTTTTTTACTATTTTTCTAAAACTTGTAATCCGTCCCTTTTTACCCAAAAGTTTGGGTAAAAATGGGACAGCCAGGCGGCAAACAGATCCAATGACTTATTTTAAATTTAAAAAAAAATTCACGAAATAATAGCTATGTTATTTAGTCAATTCAAATATAGATTTATATTACTTAATCGCATATAGTGCTTGAAACAAAAAGAAATAAACTACGCCGATTCCATATTCATACGTCTGTTTGTGCGTCTCTTCTCATAGCCCCTGTGGCCTAATGGATAAGGCATCGGCCTCCTAAGCCGGGGACTGTGGGTTCGAGTCCCACCAGGGGTACGAAAATATTTTTTTTTATTCTAAATTGAAGTAATTTTAACTATTTTGCCTTTAAATTATTTAATTTGTTGTTAAAAATTAAAATAAAATATTATTTCAGGTGCCGAATAACAAAAATTAAATTTCATTCGTTTCATTCGTATGAATTTTTATTACAACTTCTCTAATATACTGTCGATTCTCTTCTTGATGTGTTAATTTTTTTACAAATTTAAATAATTTATAATATTATTTATTATAATTTAATGATTAGAGATTAATAGATTAATAGCTTTTTGAAATATCATCAAAGCAAAGTCAAATTGCTCGTATAACTTTGTTTAGATGACTTGCAATATTAAAAAAGAAACCATATTACTATTTTTAATATTTATTTATAGCTTTATTTATGATTTTAGCATCAGTTATATTCTAGTTAAAAAATCTAAATTTGTAAATAAGATTTTTTAAATTTTCACCTTGTTTACTTTTCGAAAAAGTTTATGTTTTTGCTAGGAAATCTGATCTGCTACTTTCATGTTTTCTTGTCGTTTCAAGCCATTCTGAATCGTTTGTCGCCCTGGATGATTTCTTGATTTACTCTATGGCTCTACTGATTCCAATAACTTAAAATCCATTTGATAAAACTCGATGAGTACTCTCGATGATTAGTTTTACGAGAAAGATCGGCTGGGCCGTTTCTTCACTATTAAGTGTTAAACCTTTTTTGATGATTTTAATAAGTTCTACATATTGATATTCTAAAATATTACAGGTCTACCAAAAGTAGCTGAATTATAAAAAAAATTTTAAGTTTTGATATCAATTAGAAATCGATCTGACTAGTTTTTAATGAAACGGAAAATCTTTACTTTCAAAATCAAAAAAAGTTGAAAATGTTACACAATGTTTATCGTCACATTTTAAAAAGTTTTTGATCTCAACCTAGATCTCTCATTGATTGGGAAGTTTATGAAACTAATCTTAGTGCAAAATGCCACTATCTAGTTTAGTCTATTTATTTATTTGATACGTACATAAAAATATTGTTTTTAGATAATAATTATTATTTTATGCAAACATTTGAAAACTCTGCTTCTGAATATAGGGCATAAATGCATGAATATAGTGCATAAATGCATTTCCTTTATGTACAAGTTATGTACGTACACATGCTTTCGAATATTCTAATATCATAATCCTGTTATATTAAAATCTATGTAGTTTAATTTAATCTCAAACCAAGAACACAAATCTTATTAAATTAAATTTCATTAAAACTTTGCTTTAGCATCTACTTCTAATATATCTTGTAAGAGACATTTAAACTTAGGCATTACGTCATTAATTTTAAAATTCACATAAAACAAATTATGTCATGTTTTGCTGAAAATACAGATATTTTTTTTTTCATATAATTAGGATTTCCTATTTATTGCCAGTGAAATAATTAATTAAAGTTAATGTAATTAACAGAAGTATGCAATAAAATAAAACTATAAGTGCAATTACTAAATACAATATTTAAAGAACCCAACACTTGTTTTGAATTGATTTCATTATGATGCTCTGATAATCAAAATTAAATCATAAAATTATAAATTCTATATGTAATTATGGCTAAAATGAAATATTCTTATGAATACAAAATGTGTGAAAACATGCTTAAGACATAACTCATTTTTATCTATTAGCATTATTTTTTCTATCAAATTATTAGGCTTATTTTTGGATAAGATTTTACTTTTAACTCACAATTATTGTAAAATGAATTAATTTGCTTCAATTTCAAGAAATCAAATAACTATCTTATGTTAAACTTATCTAAAATTGCATAACGGTATAACCTAAATGTGGCCAGTGGAATTGCTCTCTTATATTTCGTGCCACCCGAAGAAAATAATTTCATCTTACTTAGTTATTAAGTGGTGAGGCAGGATGAAAATCTCATCAGATAATATTTTAGCATTTCATTGTATCAATTACTTTTCCAAATTGTATCAAACCTTTTCACTGATAAATCAATATATCATGTTTTGTAACATTGTATTTTCTCAGACACAACGGATGCTCATCTGCGCAAAAAGCAACGCCAAGCGGAACGCATCAACAATTTTATGACGAAGTACAAGAACACCATCGATAAAGATGCCCGTTCGAAGAAAACTGCTCAATATACGTTCACACCTGAGGATTTCAAATTCGAAAACAAACACTACAAATATATTAAATACACCAAATATAACAAGGTAAGGATGATTAAAAAAAATCATATTTTTTCAAGTTATAGAGTACATCGAGTGTGTCAACCGATGCTTCTAAATTTACCAATATGAGTTAATTTATTGAGAATTTTATTCTGTTGTTGTAATATTTAGTTCTTCAGATTTTTCTTTATTTTCTAATTTTTGAAAATGTTTCTAATGATAACGTTTGGAAAAACTTGTGTAACACATACTTGGGCGTCTTGCTGTCTCATACAGAAGAGTCAGTTCTACGGAAAATACTCTCAAAGCGAAAAAATCTTACTCTCATATATTTTTAATTCGTTCCGATCACAACATCAAACTTAAGTAATTTAGCTTATAAATAAACTTCTACTCTACTTTTCTCAACGGCTAATTTGTAGCCAACATACATTCTATAGCTGGTATTTGTTACATTAGGACAACCCAGTGGTCAACCACTATTCTTTTCATATTTACACAATTCATAGATATAGGATATATCCATCATATGCTTAATGCATTACTTATAAACTAGTGCGTTAATTTAATTATCATTGATTTTTAAGTCTTAATTCATATGTATCAGAGTTTGGTGATCAGAATGCCCTTCATTTTTTTTGTATTTCATCAATTAGAAATATAATTTTTTTGTAAATATCAAAATAAAGTCTGACACTTAATATTGTTTACTACCACTGCCCAATGGCCATTATTTCTTGGTTTGCTTTATTTATATCGTAAGATATCGTCTATCTATGATTTCGATGATTTTCCAAGTTATTTTTGTATTTCCGGACTCGTTTTTGTTTTGTTCCATATACAGTTCTGATTTTTATATCATTGTATACAAGTCGTTTTGTAGCATTTCAAGACGAGTTGAAAATTGCTGTTATGGTTTTTGCCAATGGCTTTAGATATATTATTTCTCAGGTTGATTTTAAGCAAACCAATACAGTTTAGTGTAGAAGTAATATGAAAATTTGTATGTCTTTTTTTTCAATAATTTTTTTAATATATACACTATAGTGAGATAGGAAAAAATATATTTTGGAGTCGTTTTAGAGATCATCTCAAATCATGAATATGTTTTCATGAATATTTTTATTCTAAAACTATAGATTTACAAAACAGAACATCAATCTGACTAAAAGAATCTATATTCAAATAAAATACGTTGGTCTTTATTTGGCTGGAAGTTCAAATACAGTTGCATCTGCTTTCTATGACAAAATGTTTAATTAGTTTTAATTATTCGATAATTCGGAGTCATTATTTTAGAAGCCAGTATTTTAGATACTTATTTCCATTATCTTATCTGTAGGTTTGACTAGTAGTAGGTATATTTGAATCTTGTTTATATTATATAGTTAAGTTTAGTACCTAATATGAAAATTTCTTAAAAAAATTACTCCCATAGAGGTAAAACAATGCATATCAAACAAACTACTAAATGATGAAATTTTCGAAAGCTTTTGTAAAAGTATACTATTCTGAGATTTGAAAAAATGCATATATTCCAAATCTATTTTTTTTTATTTTGAGTATTAATTCTCAATTAACATATTTTTAAAACCAAAATATTTCCAAATTGTACCTCTTTCCTATTAGTAGTCCACGATTTTAATTTGACATCATATTCAAATGGAGTAAAATTTGTTAATAAAAACACTAATATAGACTCTAGTAGGTTAGATTCTACTTGATCTTTTTAAACTTTTTAACTTCACGTAATCAATTCCAACTTCAATACATAATGCTCACTTTATTTGTTGAAACTTTAATTCACCCTTCATTATACGCTTCTGGATTAATATTGTTTTCATTACCATTATTATTACTTCACTTAAAGTTTGTTGCAAAATCATTCCAAAAGCTATTTATTAATATAATTAGTTGGCGGCTCATTATTTTATTTCGTATTTTGTCGGAACCTTAATTCTAAGTTTTGCAGAAGTCAGCAACAATAACGCAAGTTATTCCGAAGTTACATCGAAGTCATAACTATTAATTCTCTTTTGAATATTCCATTATCGCGTTGAGAAACTTTAAGCCCATTCAGTCCAATAGAACTTTCCATATATAATACTACGAATTATTATCGATAAGAAGTTTGGGTCGTATATTTGGTAAATGTAGCTATTTAATAGCTCATTGTATTGCAACTAATTGTGGTAAGGGGATGGATCTCCACATGCTATGTAAAGGAAAATAATTTTGAAACAATATTTAACTTTTTGGCTTATTGTGTTGTTTCCCTTAATAATTTTTGAAGAATTTTGGTAAATGTTTTACTATATATAAATACTTTACTTTGATAAATATATATGCAACTTCTACTTAAAATGCAAATTTCATTGGTATATCTTATACAAAGATCACACTCCATATAACCATCATAAGCAACTTCGTCAGGAGCTTTCATCGTCAGAGCTGGAATAACTATTAACTTAATTAAATTTTTGTAAAATTGCCTTTTCAACTTATTTTATTTATTTGTCAGTGTAAAAATTCAGGTGGTTCTTATTACTCCAGCCACATGTAAGCTGTAAGTCGTACAAATGATATAAGTACTATCAAAAAGCTGAAATTATTTTTATAATTCTTCATATAATTTATTCATTTCTTTGTTGATAAAATCGTACATAAAATCATTATTAAATTTAGCTTTTCACATTCGCTATGTTTACTAATCGAATGTGAACTGTAGGTTATATAAATCATAAATAACTGATAAAATCAAAGGTTGAGAATATTAGATTACTAAGTTACGTGTTGTAAAATCCTTTTGCCTATACACTTTATAAAAATATTGTTTCAAGGTTGATTTTTATCACACGCCATCAAGAATACAAGCATACGAAAATAAACTTTACTTAAATCATGTGGAAAGCTGAAAAGCTCAACTTTGTTATGAGTCAAGAGAAAAAACACGGTTGGTAATTTGCATAAGCAAATTTTAAAAACTTGTTTTTATATTCAAATCTTCTTGTTTTTTGCGCAATTGCATTTTTTCAAAATATTCTAAGAATCTGTATAGTTTAAATTTATTTTTGAAACTTATTTCTCGTAATTTCTTACTTTATCTGCTGGATTTCCACTACCATCGTGCAGAAATAATTAATAGTATTTATGCATTTATTTAAAAACTTGGGCAATTTACCTTTTGTGTTATGTTTTAATTTATAATGCATTTTTGCAGCCAAATGCAAAACCGTTAGTCACTTGCAATCTTCTTGCTCTCAACTCCTCAAATACTTGATAAATAGAATATGACATCTAATTAAGATATTTATTTCTAGGATAACAACATGATTTTCTCCGAAGACAAGGATAGGCAGCGTGGCTTCAACGATGCTACTCTTGACTTGAAAACTAACAGAAATCAAATTCCCACTAACGGAAATTCAAACACGAATCCCAACGGAAATAATGGAGTTGTCTGTTCCGCCTCTGCTCTTCAGTCGATGGGCAATAGACTCTTGGATTGGTTCTCGGTGGTCATGGCTGATTCTAAGAAACGACGAACCCATAATAAATCGAAAGGTAATTACAATATAATATCGGTAAATACTCTACATTTTATTTTTTTTTTCTCACAGGTGTCGTTTTCAAAACATTTTGATTTTGCATGCCTAGTCTAAAATTTATAATCAAAGTAACTTCTCTATTTTTTTAACTTACTGCAGGGTAAGGTGGGGTATAGATGTAAGCTATAACAGTCTCTTCACTTAAAAGTATATAAACATAAGTTTTATTAGCAACTTTTTCATTTTAATTGCACTTCAGTCAGATTGGTAGATTCTAACATGCCAGGGTTTGCTATTGCAAGCCATCGAGCACATCATTACGACATCAAAATAATAAAAAAAAATGATACCAACTTTGGAGTTATATATATAAATCTACCTGAGGCTTCGGATTTATTGTTGTAATTTTAAGGGGCACAACTAGTGTGAAATTTTCAAAAAATCGAATTTTCGATTTTTCCATATTTCGATAGGTTATACCTTTAAAAATAACATACCAAAATTTTAAATCGATATCTTAAATAGTTTTTGAGTCATAGCCATTTAAAGAGTATATATATAGTATATAGTATAACGATCATTTAATCTTTAAACGCGTTTTTCTCGAAACAGCATTTTTCGAATTTGCTGCAGCGATTACTCAAAAACAAATGATCCGATCACTATCGATTTTTTTTACATGTTCTATATATAATTCTCCGTAAAATGAACTATCGATTTTTTGATCGGATCAAAAATCGAATTTTGGCAGTCCAAAAACGTCCAAAATTTTGGGTAAAATTCGACTTTTTAAAAAAAAAACGCAGTCATTTTGTCAATTTTTGATTATTTTTCTTTATCGTAGTTCATTTTACAGACAATATTATCTAGTTTAACGAGATTTTTTTTTTAATTTCATCCACGTAGAAGGCCGGGGATCACTGCAGCAGTTAAGGGCCTTTTTTTGTCGCCCCTTTGGAGATTGACGATAACTTAAAAAATATTTAATTTTTTTCTTCAAAAATTTTACTATGTATTCTTAAAACATGTGTAAATATATTCTTAAAATTTTGAAATGATTGATAAAATAGTTTTTTTTTAATATAAATTCCCAAAAATCACCTTTTTTTAGGCGGTTACACTAGTTGTGCCCCTTAACACGTGGAAACAAAATCTAAATATCTACAATGGTACTGTGGCCATATACAGTTTTAGATGGAATTATTGCCAATCTTTTTATTTTATTTCAAGATCGATACAAATAATAGCATATCTCTACTCTCATAAACGTTAATAAATAATTTGTACCGGTTTTTCATCTTACAATGAGTAGTTAAACTATTCATATAATATTTCATGTCATTTACTGCCAACTTTATGAATAAAAGCATTGTTTTTATCAAAACTTGTACTTATAACTTTCGGAGTCAAAAAGTAAGACTAAGAAAGTTTAGACTTTTAAGTACTTATTAGCTACAATTTAGAATTTTTGAAATCTGTATGCTAAATTAACGTTTAGGATCGTCTAAAACCATACGAGGACTTCTAGGATCTACCATTGGTACTCTTAGTTTATTATTACTTATACTATTAAATTGTAATGACTATGTCAACTTATAGTGAAATCTGATCCTATTAATAAATATAATGAATTATGATAATGATTATGAATGAATTAACTTTTATGTGGTACATATTTCTATTATTATTATTATTTTTCCAGCTCGATTCCCAAGCGGTTGTAAATCCGAAGCAAGATGGATGTTCGGTCATTTGGATCTGGATGGCGATTCTATATTATCAGTTCAAGAATTATACGACCTGGAGCATGATCGCAGCGAACGTTGCATCAGACCCTTCTTAGAGAGATGCTCTGGTGAAGGGGGCAATGTGAGCCCCTCCGAGTGGTGCAGATGTTTCGAGAGGGCTGATAGACCTTGCGCTGCCGTCAAAAGGCGAGCTGTGGCAGAGATGTTGGGTAAAAATAATAGATAATTTAGTAATAGATAATTGGCTTAATTATGATTATACGAAAATATTTTTTTTAGGTGCATATTCACCCGATTGCGATGAACAAGGCTTTTATAAGAGCACACAATGCCATTCGTCGGTGGGCCTGTGCTGGTGCGTCGACAAACACGGCGTAGAGTTTGCGAACACGCGCACACGGGGAAAACCAGATTGTGGTGAGTTTTTGAAGATTAAATTCGTTGTAGGTATATTAAAAAAGCATGTTAATTCATAGATCTGTGTTTATTTCCATATTACCATATATTTCTCTTATTACACTCATTAGAACGTAAGACCGATTCCACAGAGGCCGTTTTGAACAAAGCAAGTTCTTCGTCGGCGCCTCTGGTCGACGAGTCCCTCAACGAGGACGACGACGAGGACGATGGTGACGACGCCGAAGGATCAGAGGGCAGCGCAGATCAGCCGCTTGACTTTTAATTCATTCATTGGTTTTAATAATAAATTGAATTTATAAAATTCGTTTACTGAAAAGTTGAGAAATATGTGAATATTTGTGATCATATGTTTTCATTTAAAAATTTTGTTTTCTATATAAATCGCACAACGGCTTCGGGAAAAGATGAAAGTCTTGGTTTAATTGCATACGGATTAATAAAATTTGATCGTAAAACTGTAATAAAGTTCTCAATTTTATAAAACTTATCGATGAGGGAAAATTTGATAGACAGTAAAATATAAAAATAGTGATCGAGGGTATGTTTAAATTTATGCACCGAAAATGCAATAAACAATAACGTTCTTCATTATCAGAAAACCGAATTAATATTATAAATAAATGTAAAATACTCAACGCCTTAAAAGTGTCTATTCTCGATTAATTCACCAGATTTATTTGTGTCTGTATGCAATTTAATCAAGACTGATTTCAATCAACTAATTTACTATGTGTCTCTATTAATGTTAAAAAGCATATTAAACGCACAGCTTTCTTTATATCCCAGCATTTGCATTTTCAACTTATTATGATTTGATCAACGTGATTATTGAATTAAACTGCCAGTAAATCAAAAGATTTTGATGCTCACAATATAAATTTGTTTTTCGTATTCAAATCGTACTTAATTTTAATAACGCTTTTCGAAATATTGTATTACCTAAGCATTTTTTATTTATAATTTTAGCAATTTAAAGCATTACAAGCTGTGTGTCTAAAATATGGTATTATTTCATTTCACAAATGCGTTGTGAGAAATATATTCGCATTTACATACATCCAACTAACAATACTTTCACCATTAATCACAAACAAAATAAAAATAAGCTCAACAATAATATTTTCTATTAACCTAAATAAATAATGACTTCATTAACCTAAACTTTAGATGAAATTCCATATTCCAATCTTGTTAATCATAATTACCGTCAATGTCTATTTACTGACCTTAAGGTTTGTGTGATAATATTTGATACAGATTTCGAATATTATGCCATATGATTCACGATGTATTCATATATACATATGTAAGTAAATATTTTTAAATTTTGCATATTCTTAGCTACAGATAAGTGCATATATTAATTTTTATATTCATAATAAACATATTACGATGAAAACGGTGTAGTAGGCAATATTCAAATTAAATGCGATAGGTGAAATTATAAATGTAGTGATATTTCAAAACTTCTTTACATATTCTTATACTACTTCAATTAATTAAAAGAGTGCTAGGGAACGATTTACTCAAAATATTTTTAATAAATTCTTAAAACTGAAAAAGTTCAAATCTGGCTTCCAGATTCTAATCTAAACTGAACATTATTTTTGTTATTGCCTTTGCAGTTAAAAAATTATTACTAATGCAGAGTAATTGATTTTAAACAAACTTCCAATTACTGGCAAAACACTTATATACTATTCTATTACAATAATTTGAGTATTTCGTTCACTAGTTCTTAAAATCTATTGCCTACAAATATTAATATAAGCGTTATTACATTCCATTTTGTACGTATATAAGATGTATTATTTTAGTTCTCACATTAATCTTAATGTTTTTATTATTTTAATAATTTCTGTTAAAGTTTTAACTTTTACAGTTAATAATCTAATAATATTATCACTACAATTTTCGTTGTGTTTATGGACTATACAAATTTAGATTTGCTTTTTACTTGCTTCTTAGATTTGCTAAACATATTAATATTTATATGTCTAGTATAAAATGTTATAGAGTTAGTTTATAGATTCATAAGATGAACTATAGGAATAAGTAAATATAAATATAGGTACTTGTATATTATTACTTTATTTGATTGTTTTAATATTAGTGTTATAGTAATGTCCCTAATAATTTAGTAATCAAATGCATAAAAAATTTGTGACTTTTACGACACAGATAATTAGCTCTAATTAATTAATAGCCACGGAATTAACAGTAAAAATGGAAGAAGTGTTTATTTTGATAATTTTTTGTTATCGTATAATGATAATTGAATTTTTCAACACTTATTTTTAACAATCTGCAAATATTTGCTCATATAATTAAAACATAATTAATTATATAAAAAATAGAAATTTTAATTCAATTTAATTCCTGTTCAGCCTGGGGCATAATAAAAATTGAATAAATTCAGGCAGATAAACAAACACTAAATCTGCCCAATACAAAATGATCTAATGAACTTCTTAAAAAATTAAAATTATATCAGAAAAATATGTTAAATTCAAAGTTGCTTGAAATGTACATTAGCAATAAAATTATATGGTAGTTTCGTTGTTGGCATGCCATGTGATTTTGTTTGCCAATTGAATTTAAGGTATAATTATAAAAAACAGCTATGATATAAAAAATTATCAATTTCTGAATACTTTCTCCATAATTGCTGACTTCTGCTAAGATGGTGATGATATTAAACCTGTGGTTCTTGCAGTTCTTAATAATAACTATACGTACCTATAGATGTTTACGCGGTTTGATATTCGTACATTATAAAAAATGTTAATCACAAGTTTTTTTTATAGAATATTTAATATAAAGTAAAATATAAATAAATATTATAGACTTTTAATTATATAAAATGAGATTAAATAATATTAAATTATATAAGAATTCTTTATCGTTTTTAACAACTGAACAAACGCATTGCTAGTATGTATTTGTATATATTGAATGACTGTATTGCAAAAGTATTATTTAACTTTTATTATCACAATTGAGTTTTAAAAAATCTTGAATTGAAACAAAGATGTGTTTTCAAATATTTAACAGTTGTTGCTCAATGCTTTCATGTTCATTTAGTTGCCATATATTGTAATGTTATGTTAAGTTTAACACAGTAATTTTTACAGAACAAATAATTGTTTGCACATATATATGCTGATGTATGTTTTCAAAAATATTCGAAAAATAATAAAAATTACCAATACCATAGTTTATTTTTTTAGTACAATATTTTATTATATAGAGATGCTCTTATTATATAGAGATGATTATCGTAAAAACAAGCCAATAGTGGTATTTTTAACAATGTTGTTTTAAAGGTAATCAAATTTTTGAAATGTTAAAGTGCAAGAACAACTTTCTGCTGACATACACACACATATTTATATCAATTTTGGACTCAAACGATTCAGAATATTTGAAACGTTGATAGTAAACTTAGAAAGTCGGATTTCCTGTCGAAAACAACTTTTTCTTCGGGGAGTTAAGAAACACAAATAGAGTGAAATTTTCAAAAAATTGATTTTTGGATTTTTCCATATTTCGATAGGTTATTAGGAACACTAAAATTTTAAATCGATATCTTAGAGTATATACTATACTATAGTATATAGTACAACGATCATTTTATCTTTAAACGCGTTTTTCTCGAAACAGCATTTTTCGAATTTGGTGGAGTGATTACTCGGAGACAAATGATCCGATCGCTATAAATTTTTTTTTCATCTCCACTATATAGTTCTTCATACGATGACCCTCCAGGTCTTTGATCTGATCAAAAATCTAATTTTGGCAGGCCAAAAACGACCAAAATTTTGGGAAAAATTTAACTTTTAACATGCCGCCATTTTGTCAATTTTTAGTTTTTTTTTGTTCGTCCGAGGGTCATCCATGGGTCATCCCATGAACAATATGTTCTAGTGAAATTCGTTTATGTTTTATCAACGGAAAAGGTTTTTTTTAGGTTGTCACACTAGGTGTACCCCTTAATAAAGCTTAAAAATGTTGCATGGGGTTATGGGGTCCATAGACCTTATATTACATGTAGAATAATGTCGAAGATGGGGTCATACAATTTTTGAAATGTAAAAGTGGAGCATGGCCTAAAACATTTGGGAAACACTGATGGATTGCAGAATAAAACGCCTAGATTATAAAGAAAAAGATAATGTCGATGCAACAACAATGTTTGAATCTAAACTATTATGAGTATTTTTTAAATTACTGAACAGAGGTCTCGCTGTTTTTATCATTTAAATGACATTCATCAGCGTAAATAAAAACGTCAACAAATACATTAAGACTCGCTTTCTAAGTTCAAAGATCGAAACATTGTTTAGTCACAAATATTTATAAGAATTAAATATATATTTTAATACCTGATACCTCTGAGTAACTATATGTGATAAATAATTATTTGTAACATTTTCGAAAAATATTATAGCTAAATCTATATCAAGGTAAGATGTTTGCTTGGCTATGCGAAATTTGATAGTCTCTAAGATAAGGCATGTTTTTATTTTAAATTATATTTCATTTGATTATATTATTCAAGATCAACACTTCTGTCTTTCTAAGGAAGTGTAATCGTCTATTTCTTTATATGCATTGTAAATGAAAAAGCCATATTATTAAAAATAAATCTAAAAATTAAAGATTTGTTTGATCTGTCTCATGATAAAAGGTAAATCTTTAAATTTCTATTTACATTACTATTTAAATGACATTGAAAAAGATTAGTTTTTTGAAGACTTAAAAGAAAAACCTGATGTTCATTAATGATTGCTCCTTTTTTTTAAAGGGAAATGATTAATTTTTATCTAAACTCTTCAGTATAAAAGTTTTCTGCATGCGAGCATAACCTATATAATATAATCTCTTCTATTATAATTTATTACAGATGATGCGGCTAACAATAAAACCACAATACATAGATCTAAAGTTCATGTCTAGATTTAAAGCGACTGCTTCTACTGAATTTGCCGTATACCATGATAAAAGTTACCAGTATCTACATGAAAGTGAATTCCCTACTTCTTTATATCAACATTCACTGCCAAGACTTCCAGTGCCAGAATTAAATGAAACTATAGCCAAATATTTAAATGCAGTAAAACCAGTGCTAGATGATAATGCATATTCAACAACGGAGAAAATATCTAAAAAGTTTCTTGAAAATGAGGGCAAGCAATTGCAAGAGTTATTAAAAGCTTTCGATAATAACAACAAAGATACCAGTTATATTTCTGAAATGTGGTTTCACATGTACTTATCAGATCGCAAGAGATTGCCGTTGAATTATAATCCTTGCCTTGTTTTTAAGGATGAGCCTAAGCCAGTATCACAATTAATAAGAGCTACAAATCTAATTGTGAGTTCATTAAGATTCAGACGATCATTACTTGATAATGTTCTGTATCCTGAAGTTTTTTTTATTGATCCTAAAGTAAAAGACAAAACATTGTATAAACAATTTATTAAGTTCTTACCTAATAGTGTAAAAACTTATGGATCTTATATTTTTAAAGCGTATCCGTTAGATATAAGCCAGTATAGTAGATTGTTTAATACAACAAGAATACCTCGTATTGGAAAGGATGAAATATTTACAAATATAAATTCAAAATATATGATTGTCTTAAGACATGGTGCTTTCTACAAAGTAAGAGTTTTGAAAGAAAATGGTAAGTTAGCATAGAAATATGATATATATATATATATATATATATATATAATTATATCTTATTTATAGGTGATATTGTTCCACCAAACACAATTCACGCTTGCATTCAATATATTTTGAACAATACCAAAAAAGAAAACAATCCATT